CAAAGGTACAATAATATAAAAAAGAAACAATAATTTTTAGAAATATATAATAATATCGAAATCTTCTATAATGGAACAATAACATCCTAGAAAGGTAAACTGGATGGTGCTCTTCTAATAATATCTATATTACTTTGGGAAAAAATAAGGTATGTCATACAAATATTTTCTTTGTTTTTCAGAAAAATATCTTTAATGGGTTTTACGTTTCGTTCTTAGGCCTACATCGGACACATCTTATATCAATACGTAGGCCTAAGGCCGAAACTTAACTCTCACTATACAAATTATTAGTAAAACGATAAAAGGCATAGCTTGTTATTCACAAAGCAATAATGATTGAAACTTTGTTAAAGATTACTGCTGCTACCACAAAATACTCTGTTGCTGAGTTCTTTGATGTTATCGAAACGTCCATTTGTAAGAGTTGTCTTCTGCAATGTTTGATTTCTATTGTTGTATAGAAGACTTTTTAATAGTAGAAATAAACGACTTATAACATCAAATTGTTTGTTCTGTCAGTTTTGGTTTGTGTTTTAGTGAAACGCTTCCGAAGAAGCTGTAAAACGAAGCGTCAAATTAAATAGAAACAACAATTTCTTGTTATAAAGTCGTTTATTTCTAGTATAAAAGTGTTGTAACGGTGTTTACCCTAATTGTTGGATAATGTAAAATGAAAATACCTCATCATCTTTTGTAGATAGAAGAGATTTCGATTACGTAAAGCACCACGATTAATGGCCAAAGTAACTAGAACTGGACTTATCCGAGAGGCTTATCTTGAGAAACCCATCTTTATCTTTGGTGATTGCATGACCACAACATTTTCCACTGTTCTTGCATTCCTGTTGGCTCTATCGATCGTTTATGGAGTCCCGTGAGAGACTTATACTCGAACTTTCCTTTAAGCCTCACTCACTTATTCCATTAGTAACGTTTTAAAGCTAGTTTCTACATTTTCTTTCCCTGCTATTACAAGATGCAGTATTTTTACTAAAGTTATGTATTCAGTTGGTTAAGGTTTCATGGTCATATGGTCAACTTTTACTTAACTAAGGTCGTAGTCATTTGGCCAACTCGTATTTAACTAAGGTCGCGGTCATAAGGTCAACTATTAGTTGACATATATTATAGTTAACTAGTATTTTAACAAATTGTGGTTATTTATTATTTGACTAACACTAAAGGATTATTTATTATTTCACTAAGGTCGTGTTCAGCCAGTTAACTGTTTATTTGGAGTATGGCTGCTTCCATAATGTACACGTGTGCAATGTTGGCTTATAATAAAGTATAGACAATGGGAGAAACATAAAACCTGCAGCTTTTTCAGGTGAGAAGCTAAAGGTGTATAAAAGCATATGCAAAATACATTTATGAAGACATCCGATCACAGATGGCGCTGCAGTGCGATATTGAAACTATATTTTCTTTTCACGACGTCATTAGGAAATGTGTTAGAGTTCACTTACTCATTCAACACTTAGTTGAATTGTTACGACTACCCAATGTTAAAACTTGAGTAAATAACCCTATTTAACATTTCCTGATGCACGTCACTGTTGCTTGTCATGTCGTACGTTATCTCGAGTCTGTTGTGAAAATGACGGAGGACATACTGAACATCTGAAGTGACTTTCATTGTTAGTACTGTATTCCTCTGAAATTTAAGCCTTGTTACTTTCTCCTCTTCATCAAAACGCGAATTTCAGCGAAGAAGAAATACGTCACATTGTCAGATATAAAAAACGTTTTAGTGTAGATAGTATTATTAATTAATTAATTTTGTGTTTGTAATGCACCGATGTCAACGCTATCGAACGTTGTGTGCAATCCATTGATGTCGAGGCTATAGACATTTCTAGAAAGACTAAGTGATACACGTATAAATAACGAAGACCAGACAAGAAAGTAGAGTAGAAGAGAGTAAAGTCATGCGAAAGAAAATTTCGGCCAGAGAAAAGTTAAACACAAAGTTATTCGTCATTAATCATCATGGGAATGAAAGGCCTAACGGTTGATATGCTGGAGTGAGATTAACAATTTCGTAACAGATAAAGAGAAAAAGTTGTCACGTCAAAGTAGGTTCTAAAATAATTGAACCAGCCTCTGTGGACTTTGACAAAAGGCAGACGATTTTTGGAAATACTAAAAAAGAGCAGACGATTTTTGAAGTACAGGATATAACCGCGGTAACTCAACAACAACAATGTAAGTGAACTATACATGGATGGTTTTGCGATAGAAATAGAAACAAGTAGTTCGGCTTGTCAACTGAATTCTAAAGCAATTGAATTGGCCTAAGCGGACTTTTGACAACAAGAAGAGAACTATATAGTGTTTAAGATACAACTATAATCTCCATAGTGTAAGAAATTTTTTTAAATACGTTTAACTTGTTCCGAATGTATATATTATTTTGAAAACAAGTGGAGTGTGTGCTCTTCGTTTGTTTTTTGAATTTATCGCCAACAAGTCACAGACACCTTCTGTAAAAGAATCCTTAGCCCAACACACCCATATATTTAACTTACTACATATACTTACATTAATATATACTATAAAAAATAAGTTCCTGATACACATAGAAGCCTAATCTATTCTTTGATTCACTATTTCTGCTGCAATAGACTAGTTTCGCTGAATTCACAACTCAGCAGTGCTACTTGAAAGAGCGAAAGTAGTTGAGTTCGAGGTTACCCGCTGATGACAACACGAGTGGTCGAAACGTTGTAATAAAGCTAAACAAAAACATTTAAATAAACAATCCATTCAAAAGCTGTATCTCTGGACTTTTGTTTAAATATATAGTGGATTTCCTCTCCTCACAACAAGATTAAAACTTGCTGTGTTTCCAAGTCACCTTGCAGCGCCACCTATACTTTAAGTTATTAGTGGCGAGTAAAGGAATATACACTAAAACCAAACAAGGTTAAAACTTGCTAGGTACCTTGCAGCGCCCCCTATATTTTAGATTATTAGTGGTGAGTAAAAGACTATACATCAAATCCAAAAAAGGTTAAAACTCGCTTGGCACCTAGCAGCGCCACCTATGAATATGTTGGTATATGTTTTTATTCTTCTGTACAAACTGGTAAAGCTGTAAGTTCTACGATTCTCCTATCATTATACCTCTCTACCCACACTTATTTTTTGACAGGCCTGTATATAAAACAACACTGTCGTTTATGTCACCAAGTAGAGCAGATACATGTTTTAAATGAATACAGTTAATAGCAATAATTTTTGGTTTACAGAATAAAATTGGATACAAAATTTAAAAATTTAATTAACAAGGTAAAAGACAGAAAGTAATCAGGTTTAGTTGGCTCCGAAATAAAATAATTTTTATTGTGTAAGTCTACAAAGGTTGTTCTTTTTTATATAAATACAAAGGTTGTTCTTTTTTATATAAATACAAAGGTTGTTCTTTTTTATATAAATGTCCTGATTTTCGATGGAGTAAAAGTGTGACCCCAAGTATTTTAAAATGAATTAGTTTGATATACCAATAAATGAAGGTTGGAATGGTTAGTAATCTTGCAAGATTTCTACAATCATAAAGTTATATAATTACCTGAAAAAGCGAGAAACTTTGCAACAACAATTGGGATCCAACACAAGCAATCAGTTCCCACAATAAAGGCAAACCTTTTGGCAATCGTCTTGTTTTGGTTGTGAAGAGTTGAGCGGAGCCCCGAGTTTGACTTTGATATGCTGAAGAACATCTGGATGTAAGCGTATAGAATAAAAACAAACACTACAGTATTTACTCCGCAGAACAGGATCATAGTAAACTCCCAACCTTCGGCATACGGGTTATGGATGTGTAAAGGCAAGCAAACACCATTATTTCCATAGAACTCTTCGCCAAAGTAGTCAATGTTCATCAATGGTATAGCGGCTAAGAAAACTCCCAGACCCCAGACTGCTAGCATACATCCAAAAGCCAAACTAATGCTTCGGTTTCTGGTGGACATTGGGTGGATGACTGAAATGTAACGGTCAATGGTGATAACAGCTAGGATGAAAACAGACACTTCGCTGCTTAAAGTGCTCAAAAAGCCACACATGTTACACTGCCAACTGTGGCGCCATCTATCCTCGAATTCAATGTAGTGACCACGGAAATTCATGTCATATCCGGCGATAATAAAGAGGTACACACCCATGATAAGGTCTGCGGCCGAGAGATTCCTGATGAAGAACGAGTGGACGTCGTTGCTTTCTTTGATGGCCATTCGACCAATCAGAACGAAGAGGTTTCCACAGCAAGCCAAGGTAGCAACCACCCAAACTGACACTCGAAGAACTTCATTTTCTAGAAGATGGGCTATACTGCTTATTCCATCACCACGAGGATCACAAATCCGAACATTTGGGGCGTAGGAACACAGATGGAACTCATCAAAATATCTAAAAAATAGAGAAAAAAAGGACATT